ACTGCCTTTGTGGGAGGCCAAGGCACTGAACACATCATACACTAAAAACATATAGAACAATAAAAAGCACATAAAAGCAACATGCATAAAGTAAAAGCAGCATATAGAAGGTGATGCAATTAGATCTAAGATAAACCAAGAATAATACAAATCTAAAAACCATGTCACATAAAAGCTAAAGAATAAAAATGAGTTTTCAAGTGACTCTTAAAGTGACTATAGAAAAAGAGCAAGAGTACTCACACTGTAGCCCAGGGAGTAGACGCAGTCTCTGATGGTTTGTGTGTGCTATAGTTTTGACTCCTTCGGATTCTCAGACACAGGATTCTGGCCCTAATAAGTCAGATATGATGAAGCTGAAAGATGACACAATCAGGGCATTGAAGTTGGATTTCTCAGAGATGTTTGAAGCTTAACGGAGAAATGCTGAAGTAGAAGATTTCAACTTAATGAAGGGAGGGCTACAGTCGTGGCCAAAAATTTTGAGAATGACACAAATATGGGAAATTGGAAAAGTTGCTGCTTAAGCTTTTATAATAGCAATTTGCATATACTCCAGAATGATGTAAAGAGTGATCAGATGAATTGCATAGTCCTGCTTTGCCATGGAAATTAACTCAATCCCAAAAAATAACTTTCCACTTCCCATTTTATCGCTGTCATTAAAGGACCTGCTGAGATCAATTCAGTAACCATCTTGTTAACTCAGGTGAGAATGTTGATGAGCACAAGGCCATTATGTCAGGCTGATTGGGTTAGAATGGCAGACTTGACATGCTAAGAGGAGGATGATGCTTGAAATCATTGTTCTTTGGCAGCAATACGCCGCAAGGCGTCCAGCCTACCTTATCCAAAGAAGAAGAAATCATTGTTCTTTCATTGGTAATCTGCAAAGAAATGTGTGCAGCCATCATCACATAGCATAAAAATGGCTTCACAGGCAAGGACATTGTGACTACTAAGATTGCACCTAAATCAACAATTTATAAAATCATCAAGAACTTCTAAGAAAGAGGTTCAATTCTTGTTAAGAAGACCTCAGAGCGTCCAAGAGAGTCCAGCAAGCGCCAAGATTGTCTCCTAATGAGGATTCAGCTGTGGGATCGGAGTGCCACTAGAGCAGAGCTTAGAAGAAGAAGAAAATATTTCTATAGCGCCTCTTAAGATAAAAATCGCAAGGCGCTTCACAAAAACAAAAAATTAAAAAATTGTAAAAATATAAAAAAGCATTTCGAAAATGTTTAAAATATATTTAAAATGAGCAAGAATAAGCTGTTGCAATTTAAAAGAAAATGTTAAGAAAGAGAGAGAGTGAATAGGAAAGAGGGAAATCAGTGGATCCTGAGGAAGGTGGAATAGGCGGGGAGAGCAGAATAAAGAGAGTGGTGAAGAAGGTCATACAAAAGCCAGCTTGAACAAGTGAGTCTTCAGCTGCTTTTTGAAGGAGACCACTGAGTCCACTGATCTCAGGCTCGGGGGGAGAGAGTTCCAGAGTCTGGGGGCCACAGCAGCAAATGATCTGTCACCTTTGGTCTTTAGCCTGGTGCTGCACAACCAGTAGGCTTTGATCACTGGACCTCAGGGACCTGCTGGGGGTGTAGGGACTGAGAAGATCACCAATGTAATATGGTGCTTGTCCATGTAAGGTCCTATAGACCAGAACCAGGATCTTTAAATGAACCCTGGAGTTGACTGGCAGCCAGTGAAGCTGGAGGAGAAGCGGGGTGATGTGGGTGTGTTTGGAGGACTTGGTCAAAAGCCGAGCACAGGCATTCTGAACCACCTGTAGACGGTTCAGGGAGGTTCTGCTCAGACACGTGAAAAGAGAGTTACAGTAGTCTAAGCGTGAGGAGATGAAGGTGTGAAAGCTTACTTAGGAATGGCAGCAGGCAGGTGTGAGTGCATCTGCACACATTGAGGCAAAGACTTTTGGAAGATGGCCTGGTGTCAAGAAGGGCAGCAAAGAAGCCACTTCTCTACAAAAACTACATCAGGGACAGATTGATCTTCTGCAAAAAGTATGGTGAATGGACTGCTGAGGACTGGGGCAAAGCCATATTCTCTGATGAAGTCCAATTGTTTGGGGCATCTGGAAAAAGGCTTGTTCCAGAGAAGAAAAGGTGAGCGCTACCCTCAGTCCTGTGTCATGCCAACAGTAAAGCATCCTGAGAGCATTCATGTGTGGGGTTGCTTCTCATCTAAGAGAGTGGGTTCACTCACAATTTTGCCCCAAAACACAGCCATGAATAAAGAATGGTACCAAAACACCCTCCGACAGCAACTTCTAATAATCCAACAACAGTTTGCTGAAGAACAACGCATTTTCCAGCACGATGGAGCACTGTGCCATAAGGCAAAAGTCATAACACTGTCTCGGGGACCAAAACGTTGAAATTTTTGGTCCATGGCCCGGAAACATGGACAGTTTACAAGTAAAAAGATAAGAAATACATTTTCAAACAGGTGTTAATAAGATGCCTACTGAGACACTTTATACCTGGCTCAGGTCCACCATCGCACCAGTCTGGACGGGTTAAAACAGAAATGGGAGCTAGACCTGGCTGCTGGATTGTTGGAGGCATTCAGAAATCCTCAATTTGTATAAGACACTGTGTCATCTAATTCAAAGTGGTGCACCATTTGCATTGGTCCAAAGACAGAAGCTCTTTGGTCTTGTCCAGGGGTGCCCAATCCTGGTGCTGGAGGGCCAGTATCCAGGAGTAGGTTTTGTGGTTTTTCTGCTCTAACACACTTGATTCAGCTAATCAGGCTCTGCAGAAGCCTGCTAATCAGCTGCTGATTGAAATCAAGTGTGTTGAAGAGGAGTTAAAACTTAGGCCCTGCCCACACGTAGCCGGGGATCTGCCAAAACGTAGATATTTTTCTACGTTTTGGCCTGTCATCCACACGAAAACGGAGTTTTTTCACACGAAAACTGAGCTTTTAAAAAACTCCGGCCAAAGTGAAGATCTGCGTTTTCTCCGTTTTGGGTGTCTGCGTGTGGACAGACAAAACCGGAGTTTTAAGGTCCGCAACATCTGCGACAAAAAAATGCTGACATCACCTGTGTGACCTGTGTTTACACTAGCCGACAGCATGGATGCCCTCAGAGCTGCGCTCGCTTTATCAATGGTCCAAGCGCTTTTTGCTTGTTTGTTTTTGCAAGCAGAATTTCTGCTCCTTGTGGAAGACCACAGACGAAGGACGAGGTTAAGAACTGGGGAAGTACTACCGCCTACAGGTCTGGCATGTCCTTAACAACGTATTTATCCGGGTACGTGTGGACAGAGTTTTTTTTTAAACGAGGTGGTGTGGATGCAAGTTTTTGGAGGGGCGGATATTCGTTTTTAAAAAAAACGGCTACGTGTGGACTAGGCCTAAAACATGCTGGATACCGGCCCTCCAGGACCAGAATTGGGCACCCCTTTTCTTCTCCATATAGAGTTTGGAGTGTGACGTTAGAGGTTGTGGACAGGTGTCTTTTAAACTGATAAGTTCCAGCAGGTGCCATTAATACAGGTAACGAGTTGGGGACAAAGGAGCCTCTTACAGAAGAAGTTACAAGTTTGTGAGAGCCAGAAATATTGCTTGTTTGTAGGAGATCAAATGTTTATTTTTCACCATAGTTTGCTGATAAATTCTTCAAAAATCAGACAGTATGATTTTCTGGATTTTTTTCCTCATTTTGTCTCTCATAGTTGAGGTATACCTGTGATGAAAATGACAGGCCTCTCTCGCTTTTAAAGTGGGAGAACTTGCACCATATGAACACATGACACTAAATGCTCAGCCAATACCCAACTAGTGAGTAGAAGCAACATTTTTATTTATGCTGCAGTTTCCCATAAATGTGTTGCCCTCTATGGTCCTATAGCACTTTAAATTTCAGCTGAGGTGTTCTATGAAACAGAACAAGATACGACTCCAGGTCTGAGTCATCATCGTCTCTCCTGGTGATTCCAAACATAAAAAGTACAACATCCATTAGACTTGACCTTCTTTAGTGAAAAGGTCTTTGCAGCAAAAAGGGCTAAAAAAAAAGGTACATTTTAGTTTCTGGGGTCTAGAAACAGGAAGTCCACGTGTGGCGGAGGAACACAACTGTGTCAAGAAAACTAATGAGTTAATCTTTTTTACTGTGGTTACACACACACACACACACACACACACACTTGTTCGTTTCTCATTATTTTGTGTAGCTTCACAAATATTTTGAATTACAAATTAAAGCTTGATCTCAGGAAGACTGACACAGATTTTTCTGATGCGTCAGTCAAACGTTTTGCAAAGCAAAGTTGGAACTTCTTACTTTTGTACTTCCATCAGGTCCTTTTACAGCTCATGCCTCTGTTCCTCTTTACTGGTGATCTGTTCCAATAACCCTGTTGCCTCCATAGCTTCCTTATATTTCATACATCACAACAGTTGTTTTATTCAGACCACTAATACGTAAAAAAGTGATTAGAAAATGGATGAATGCATTTCTGTTTCTGTCCTCACTAGAAAGATTATTTCTGACCTTGAACATAGAATTTGCTTTAATAAATTATTTTGAATATGATTAATGGGTGTATATTATACTGTAAGCAAAATGCATTATCTACAAAACGTCATTGAAAGAGAATATTTTTATAATCCTTGATATATAAAGATTATGAGTTTTTAATTCATAAAGGTAAGTTTCGGATCATTGGTGGCACTTAGAGAACTTTAACATATAGTCAGGTGTTTTTTACTTTTATTGGCTGGAAGTCTCAAAAGTTTGTACGTTTTTATATTTGAGGGAGGAAATGATGTCCAAAATTGGATCCCCTTAATGTTCAATAAACAAAGATCTTCAAAAAAATCTGGACTAGCTGGGGTTTTGTAAACATTAACCAGCATTTGGGTTATAAAAGTTGTCCTTGGCTAGATTCCTCCCTGCTTTTATGATGTTAAGTCAGCCGAGAGATTTCTTAACAACTCTGCCTTTGAAAGGGAAGAATTACACCCCCGAGGAAAACCCAGACTTGTTAGCACCTGCTACAGGGGATGTACAGGAAGGTTAGGGCTGGGTGATGTCAGCAGGAAGAGAGTCACTCAGCTCAGAACAACTGAGGAGCGATTGAGAGACACATCAACAACCAGGGCGACACACAGAACACTCTCAAGGTAAGAAATGTGTGTTTAGCTTCAAAAGTGTTTCGAACTTTTCACCAGTTTGTCTGTAAAATAACGATTAGTAATAACCTTTAAAGTTTTTTATGACCTTTATAACATTTCACTAGCCAAGATTCCAGATTCTTACCTGGTTAACAAAATCAAAAGTATTATAATATAGTCAACGCCATTGTAATGGATAAAATGTTCAGATTATTAAAACATAAGCAGATTTAGGTGAAACTACTTGATTCAATATTGAGCATTTTTCATAATTTGTGAAACAAAAAGAAACTAAATTGATAACGGTAAAAGCGCCAGAAGGAAGCGGTGAAGTTTAATCCACTTGTAACTTCTCTTCTAACACCACTGACATGTGAATTCAGAGGAACTGGTTTTATTTTCACAGAATGATGATGAATGCCACAAACCACACGGAGAACGATACTTTCTCCTGCTACAGCCCCTCAGTGGTCGGCTACCGGTACTTTGCGGTGCTGTGGGGGTGTGCTGTGACCATCACCGGGACTGTGGGGAACCTCATGACCGTTCTTGCCTTTGCTCTGGACCCACGTTTGAGGACTCGCTTCAATGTTCTCATCATCAACCTGGCTGTAGCTGATCTCCTGTACTGCACCGTCCTGCAGCCCATCTCCGTCGACTCCTACCTCCACCTCAGATGGCGCAGCGGGGAGCTGTGGTGCAACATCTTTGGCCTGCTCCTCTTCCTCTCCAACTCTGTCTCCATCATCACCCTCTGTTTGGTGGCAGTGAGCAGATACCTCCTGGTTGCAAAGAGAGCCGTTTTTGCACGTGTTTTTTCTAACTATGGACTTATTTTGCTCCTGATCTCAGCTTGGGCGCTCGGCCTGGCCAGCTTCGGCCCACTTTGGTCCGTCTACACGTTCGTACCTCAGGTGTGCACATGTAGCTTCCATCGTACCAAAGGTCGCCCCTATACAACCGTCCTGCTGTTTTTCTATTTCTTTTTTGGTCTGGGTGTTGTTGGGGCATTTTACCTGCTCATTTACAGACGAGTCCGGATTGCATCGAAAGCTCTGCTCCGCTACAGACTCAGCCGGCGCTCATCCAGGAAGAAACCTGCAGCCGTAGATCAGGAGACCGATGACAGTGGGGTTGAGAGTGGTCCAGTGAAGACGTGCAGCTCTGAGATGAGGAGCCAGGATGAACTGGATCACAACACAAATGATATTAACAATGAAAAGTCCTTCCTGTCGACCCAGAACTCAGCTACACCTGACAAGTCTGCAAGTGACAAGTACCAATCACCTGCTCCCACCTCTGCGCCCCCATCCTCTGGAACTTCTGGAGATGATAATGAATTCAAGCGTGTCACTCGCATGTGTTTCACTGTTTTTCTGTGTTTTGTCTGCTGCTTTGTTCCCTTTCTGTTGCTGAACATCGCAGACAAACATAACCGCGCCCCGCAGGTTCTGCACATGTTTTGTGCCAACCTCACCTGGCTAAACAGCTGCATTAACCCTGTGCTGTACGCAATCATGAACCGACAGTTTAGGCAGGCCTACAACGTGCTGCTCAGCAGAGCTGCTGCTCCCTTCTTACACCTCAGGGCCTCCTGTCAGAACCTGAGATCTGAAATCCTCAAGCCTGCCTAAATACTCCCATTTTGCACATGCAAACGTTAAAGTTGCTTTTTAAATGAAGTATGAATTTTTATCCACGTGATATTCTAGTAACGTTTTTTTTCAACTGTGTTTCTCAGGTATTGATAATTAAAGTGTTAAACTTTGCAGGGACTTTTACATTAGATGACGCATTTTGTTGGTCATGCAATTAATTATGTTTTTAGTGCATGTGTCATGAGTTCATTCAGAATGTGAATCAGAAATGAGACAACCTGGAAATGTAATGTGAAAGTGCTGAAAGTACCCATGTTACACAACCAGTGCAGGACATTCCCTGTTAACACAACAGTCTATTTTAAATAATGCAGAAGCATGTGACTCTGCACCGTCTCAACTCTGTACTGTCTCTGTTGATGGTGACTGACTGGCTGTTTGGACTTATCTGGTCAATCCATGCACAAACAGGTTTGTAATGACATACATTTACTCACTGAGGACTGAAAATGTATGCTATCACCCCTTGGCTGATGTGTAATGCCTGAGGTAATGTTTTTAGAGACGACACTTCCTCAGTCTAACCAGATTCAGTGTTTTACAGCACAGTTGTGTATAAAGCAAACACAGGAAGAGTTTTTCAGGTTAAAAACTCAATGTGAAAAATAATGTCAAAAGGAAACAAAACTCCCCTAGTGGCTAGGTTTGAAAAGTCTCATTCACTTGTTTTTTTACAAAAATAAAATGGCTGCTGTTTCTATGATGAATAAATGCATTGTGATTTGTTTTCTGTGGGGACAAAAAGCTCTTGCACTTCAGTTTCAGGGGGTGGAAGTTTTTTGGAGGAGTGGAGGTCAGAAAACAAGTCTTACTCATTAAAGGGGAACAAGGCGTTTGTCTTTGTAACACCTTAATCTGACAGCTGAAGTGTCTCCCAGCCTTCTTTCCTGTCTACAGGTGTGATTCATCACTAAATTAAACTAATCAGCTGTGCTCGTGATTTTAAACATGCAGGAAACGTACTGGAGACTGCAGCGTCAGGTATGTCACCTCAATTTCCCAACAGACCTGAGTGGCAACTCTGATGTTGCAAATGCGGCATTCTGGCCACAGGGGGGCGTTAGAGGCCAGGTGGCCTTTCGTTAACCCTGTAAAGCAGCGTTTCTCAGTTCCGGTCCCCAGGACCCCCTGCTCTGTACGTTTTCCATGTTGCCTTTGAAACACTGGTGTTTGCCTACTGCCACACGCCTGATTTAAGAATAAGTGATTCATCTGTATCTGCAGCACTCGATGTCCTCCTGAAGGAGGCAATGCAAATATGAAAATCAAATAGAAGCGGAGACATGGAAATCATATAAGACAAGGGGTCCTGAGGATTGGAATTGTGAAACGCTGCTGTAAAGGGTCATTTTAGCCATTATGGCTCAAGAAAATAATTTTAAAATATGAAAAAGTTGCAAAGTAACACTTTCATATTCATAATACTTCGCCTCTGTACGCGACTCTTCGCGGTCTCCGTTTGCTCTTTTAGGTAAAAGATGCCACATTGATGTTTTATCTCCATTAATAACAAAAGCCTGAGCGTGTTCTTCCATGTTGTTGAGTTGCTAATGCTAGTAGCTTCTACTCTGCTCTCTCCTGGTTATTGGGTGAGTCCATGCTAATTCTCCCTGTTACCTAGAAGAGGCCGACTTTTACTGACACACCCGTCTAGTTCCTTTCTGCTGCTAATGCAGGCGATGTGTTTCAAGAAGAGCGAGTATCACATGGTTTCTCGTGGAGGAGACCTGTATGTCTCGCCCCTTACGTGAAAACAACTAAGACCTTTTTCTAATTAAAATACACCTAAGATGTTTTTTTTTCCAGGTGTTGACTTTTGTTTGTTCACATATTTTACCTTCCAGCTACATGTTCAAATATCACATTTTCTACTTAAGCTTTGGTTTGGTTACTTGAAACTACTTATAACATGTAAGATATCCATTAATTTATTCAGAAATCAAAATATCTTCAGTGGCAACATTAAATGTAACTTTGACTGTTTAGTTTTGCTTTTGTGAAACCACTTGGATGACAGCTGTGTGACCAAACAGGAAAGCTTTCAGATACGAACATGGAGTAACCTGGTGCACAAAGAGGAAAAGCGTGAATGGCTGCAACACTGACTCATACCTGACTGACACATATCAGCCAGACTCTATTATTGTGCATTCAGTTGATCAGAATAATTAATGAGAACTGATTTTAATTGATTTTACCATAAAAATAAACTTAAATGACAGTAAAGTTTATATAGCACTTATCACAGATAGAAAAATCCAAGTGCTTCACAAATAACAACAAAGCAAATCATAAAGACATATGACAAACAAAACAACAAAATCTAATGAAATCAAAATGAATTCAAATCAGAAAACACAAATGATTGAAAGACACATAAAAATAAGATCACTAAAACTAAATTTACTTGACATAAACATTATTGGTGACTTTTTGTATTGTTTTCAGTAAAAGCTGAATTATCCCCCCCCCCCCCCCCCCCTTCAGCTTTTAAAGCAGATTAAATGAGCCTACATTCAGGTGTGTGTGGTGTTGATAATTCACCACATCACTTAATATTTAATATAGCATCGTCTGAATGCTTTTGCAATAAACAAGTTTCTCTTTTTAAGCATTAATAAGGAGGAATTATAACCAGAAACAATTAATAGGCCTATTAGCAAAACTAGAAATCTGGGTGGAAAAATACTTTGATATTAACACGTTTGTTCAACTGGACTGTTGAGAAGCAATGTTTTCTTTAACTAAACAGTATTCATGCAGGACTGTAATGTAATCCGTGTTAAACATGAATTTGTTTGTTTGTTACCCTCATGTGTCCTCTGTGGCAGCCATCTTGAACCAGCTAAAGAGGAAGCCCGCCTAATGCTGCCTTTTTATAGTAAAATGCCTGAGTGGAGAAATTTTAAAGAAAAGCATAGAATGAATTCTTTGTAAATTTGATGTGTTTTACATGTAGACTATCTAATCATCGAAACTAGCTGAAGGTGGTATGAATGTTAACATTTTTTTTTCTTCTGTGAAAGGCTGAGGTGATTGGCCGACCTGAATTGGAGGGGGGGTCGGAGGGTATATAGGTGGACTGGGTGTGGCAAGAGCGCTCTCTCTGAAAGTGACTGAAGAGAGATGGATGGGTGGCCATTTTGAAGACGGCTGGACTTTCTGATTTTTTTTTTTTTGACCAGAGGAAATTAAACTGGTTTTCCTTGTTCATCAGACAACCAAGTCAGCATGTCTCTTTTGTCCTCACTACACTTCACTGTGTAACATGGACCAACTCTATAAGAAAATGAAACATTGGACGAAATTCATGAATTGATTCACGTTAGGACCACACACCAATCTCATGTCCAGGTAAAAGAAAACGACTGGCACAGCTTTTCTTTACAAACGTTTATTTTAGACACGGGGCCGTGGCACAGACGGGAAAGGACTGGGATCACAGCTAAAAAGTACAACAAAAACAAGCCAAAAGGGGAAAAAACAAAGAGCAAATAAAAATGTTCTCTGGGTATTTTTGAAAAACCACCATTTGTTTGGAACGAGCACATAACATTATTTGACATTAATAATAACAGGATTGCCATGCTCTGGAACAATCCTTTACACGCTCCAGCTGCAGACATTAAAACACTAAACGGGCTTCACAACAAACACCATTACAGTCATTTAAGTGCCATCGATGTGATGTGGTGTAAAGTGCTTTATGCAATACATCTCCACAGTGGTCAGTTTGTTTTCTTCAAATTCCTCTTAATCTTCATATGGACAGGTATTCCATTGGCTCAATCAGTGATCTGTGTTTTGCTTGCATGATATTAACTACTACAGTGATTATGGGATAGATCGTCAGTTAACGCAGAGAATTAGTTGCAAGTTCATTAAGACCTGATTATGAAGCTAAAGCGAACGTGATGAAATACGCTGTGGCTAAACATCTACTGGAAAATGCCTCCACAGGGTTGAGGGGGAGGCAGGTTAAGCCCTGGAAGGGTAAAATCAGGAAGCAGTGCTTCATGCTGCAGGAAGTCCGAGTCGCTGAAGCTGTTGGGGTCGTTGAGAAACATTAGTAACTCGTTGTCCTGGTGTTCAGCGATGTCACTCAGCATGGGATCATGGTGAAACGTTTCCATCCGTGACTGCAAAGGAAGATCCACCCCTTGTTCTGAGAGCAAAGAGACGGAAAGAGAAAGGTTTTTTTCTGTTGTTTTGGCGTTACTGTTTATAAAATGTGCTGGTTTCTAATGGGAAGTGAGAGGGATAAAAAATAAAATGTGCTCTGAAGGAAGAAGCAGTACTTCTGTTTTAAAAATGGATCATTTTGTGTAGAAAATCCTTACTCAAGTTTATATTTTACTTTGATCATTTTTGATTAAACCCATTTTCCAAACTGAGATCAATCAAAGTCTCATCTACAGCAGGTAAAACAGCAATAATTTAAAAGTATAGCGGAGGATCCTGTTCTGGGTGGATCATCTGAACCACTGGTCCGCATAAATGTCACTCAGGGCCGTCGTCCTACGTACTAGTTCCTGGGTTAGTTTTCACTTCTTGCGCATGCGCGTTCTGTTTATGTGTAGAGCAATGCACCTTCATTCTTCACCGTTCTCGCCGGGTTCTTTTGAAAATGGATGAGAGTCGAAAGAGAAAAAGTGTCCTTGAAGTCTACGATAAGAAGAGAAAGGCCTCCAAAGTGAGAAGACCAGTTTTTTTAGGAGACTCTTCTCAAAGCAAAAGTTGGGCTCCCCACAGACGCCTCTGTCGCTGGTTTTCTGCTCGACAGGTAAGCTAAAGTTCCTCATCTATTTGGAGAAATTCATTTCAGATTACTGCTAGAAGACGTTATCTACGACTATATTCTAACTTTCCATGGAAGAACTGTTTGATTCTGATGGGAGAATCAACCAAGTGGTGATTAGCAGAGAAGTTTATCCCACTGGAAAAACTTTTTTGATCCCACGGGGGGATAATCATGTTCTACTGAAGCATAAGCAAATCAGAAAAGGAATAAGGTGCAGAGTTAGACAGACAGCAGTAGTACATTACAGGTGGATGAGGAAATAAGTCAAATAAAATGCAAAGAATTGGAATAAAAACGGAACTGCACATAAATATAAATCTGACATTATTGAAAAACACAAATCTTTTTTTCTTGAATAAACATGTGCTGCAAGGCCAGCAGCTACTTGTAAACAGAGCACGCACAAGGACAACTGGGTGTTCTCTCTCAAGCGCATTTTCTCAAAACGTGCCGAGGGCGGTTCTTTCTTAGAATTCAGAAACATCCTCCACCACACTTTTAACATCCCCTCTTCGAAAGATCTAGGCCTAACTTTAGTCAGGCAGGTCTTGTAGCGCATTGCCTAAATATGTTTTCATAAGTGTAAAATGCTTGAGTGAACTTTAATCAATAGAAGAGGACGACAAATTGATTAGCAATACAAATTATTTAAAATCTCCATTATTATTCATGCAGGTTCACTGGATTATAATTAATCATCTAATAAACACAGAAGGATGAGAAAGCAGGTTGAAACACTGCTAAAGGATGTTAGTAGCCAGTCTGGATAACGAACACCTCCAGGACGAAGCGATTTCTGAGCACAGCAGACAAACATCACACGTTCATGCAGACATCAGAGGTTTGATGGCCGAGGTAGTGATCACCACAGGTTTAGATTAGACAGTGCCGATGGGAGACGGGAGAGTGTTTTGATCAGTGAGGATTTTAGCTGGATTGGACAGCAAGGAGAGCCATGACTCACCCGCTGCCTCTCCACATGGGCCACTGATTGGCTCCAGGCCTTCACCCTGTGTCATGTCACAGGACATGGGTGACCTGGCCTCCAGTGTGTTCCTACACGGCCAATAACAAACAGCCGTTACAACCAAAAGGTGTGGATAAACTGGTTTTTAGATCGGGTCGCTGTTTTCATCATTTTACAATTTCAAATTCAAACATGATGAAGCAGCCTTACTCTTTAGAGACAAACACCAGCTTGGTTTTGATGTACTTTATGTAGGGGCTGTCATCTGAAAGAGAAAGATCAGGTGGGAGTTTTCTGGAAGACAAGTTTTCTTTTGACAAGAAAAATATATTTTTTCTACATTAATTATTGTCCTTACCTCCACACTTTTCTGAGTAGTACTTCCCAAAAGCCTCGTCTTTTGGGATGTTGGGATACAGATAACGTAAAGGATTTTCTGGGATGTTATCAGCTTCCAAGATCTTGAAATTCCTGATGATTTCATGGAAAGGGATCTGAGAAAGGTCAGCCTTTGTAAAGGGTTGGACCGTCTTTATGTCGGGCTCATCTAAAGTAAGGAAAAATGATGTTAAAAACAAAACTCTGCTTCAAAGTGGTTAGACAATAAAATCATCTCACCAGTGGAGTTGATTTCCACCCAGGAGAAGGTGATTCCTCCGATGATGCTTTCACTGAAGCGAAGTAAGAACGTGCCTCTCATCATCTTCTTCAGCAGGGACTTCTCTTTGCCTCTGCTCACAAAACCCATGATGCGACTGCATTTGAGGGAAGGGGTGTGTGTGTGTGTGTGTGTGTGTGTGAGAGAAAAAAACAGAAACATATGAAAGAATTATTATCAGATGATTGAAGGGTTTTGAAGTGCTGTTAGAACCAAGTCACAAATATAACAAAGTCTATATTCATAATATAAATTTAAATAAGTCATAATATTATCCTGACACACAGAAATATGGAGTAACAACATCAGCCAAAAAATCAACCAGACAGCAAACAAAGAGCCTCTGGGTGACCGGTCCACGGGGGTCTTATTTTAGTTTTTCTTTACATTTATAAAAAAAAAATAAAAAAATAAAAAAATAAGGAAATGTATAAAATAAATATCCATCACCTTCAAATAGTAATAATAATAATATCATAATAGTGAAATCACCAAATGTTTAGATTTAAGGTTAAATAAGTTACCTGCAGATTTGCTGAGGCTTGTTAAGGCATTAAAGCTGCTTGGTTTACAGATTAAGTTAAACTCTAATTTTAATTGCAAGCTTATGATTGTGGTTCTGTCTAAATAAAAAAGGTATTTTGCATCTCTGTTTTGGGCCTGACAGTTACCCAACAAACCGTTAGTGACATAAGTGTGTACACAGCAGAAACATGTCAGGATAAATATGAAACAAATCCAAGAGCTTAGTATGTCTGACATGGTGTCATCATATCCTGTGTTTATGTCCCTGCTGTGTTTGAAATCCAGGGTTAAGAAAATTTAGCACACTAACTCTTCTCTCCAAAGGTCCTCCAGATATGTTTTCACCATCACCAGGATGCCGTCAAACCAAACCCAGAAGGTCTCGGGAGAATTTTCCTAACAGAAGATGAAGGAAATGTTAAAAGTGCGGAAAACTCCTGCAGTGATCTGTAGTAGAAATGATTGCCTTGTAAGTCATACTCAGGGGAAAAGGCCCAGAAGCACCCGTTTCAGCACAGAGACAACAGCTGGAGGAAAAAGTAGCTTCAGAAGACCGGATTTGGAGTTTTATCTCCTGATATTTCACCTCTGATTGGATAACAGCATCGCGACTCTACCACGTGACTACCACTGACTCAGTTTGTTTTGCAACGTTGATGTTTTATCTCCACAAATAACACAAATCTGAGGGAGATCTGCTGTGTGGTGGAGTTGCTAATGCTAACGGTTAGCTTCTAGTAGTCGAGACGTTCTCTGCTGTTTCCTGGACGCTAAACCAACAACAGCCTTCCCCGTCATGAGTCAAGACGAGCGAGTCCATGAATTTTAAGTAGGGATGGGTACCTTTGACATTTGAATTGATTCGGTACTAATTCCCGGTACCTAGGAATCGATACCGGTACTTAAATGTACCAGTTTGATACTGTTGAGTGTTTAATATTTTAATTCTCTTTTATAATTAAATATATATTTTTCTCAACATATAACAATATTTGATAAATACCGTAAATCCTCTAATATTAGCCTGTATTTAATTAACTGCCGGGTATCATATTTTGCCCGGTGTCGGAGGTGAATAATGGCCGGTTTTTTATTGTGGCCGGGTGGAATGTGGTAACAAGCAAGTACGGGGGGCGGTTGTGTCATCCGTCTCACTTTTGATTTGCCAGTGATAGACCGCGAGGGTAACTTTAACCGTGCGGAGACGAAGAGGAGGCGAAAATTTGATATCAAGTTCAAAGAGAACGTGCTGATTATGCTGCAGAACACTCTGGGGAGCAGTAGCAGGGGTTGTATGAACTAGTCACTAGTCGACTTCACTGCTCTATAGTGACTTGTTATGCCTGTCATCGACTAGTCGCTGTCATGTGATAATGACCGGCAAGATGCAGTCCTCGAAAAAGACAGCAGCCTGCTGTCAGCAGGTGACAAGCTCCTGCGCGTCTGGAGGCGACGCGCTGTGCCAGAGCGTCGGCACTGACACCCGCCGTAAAACGGACATTTAACCAAATTGTGACGTTTACCCTCTTGCAATTTAACCTTCCCCTCACCCCCATCCTAACCTTAACCAGCTTGTGCATGCAAAGCTCTGATTGTTGACGCGCTCCAGACATCTGCGTCCCGAGCACGGCCACAGTAACGTTATCAAATCAGGTGTCGCCACCTCAAAAACTAATTTAACACGCGATCGTTCATGTCGGCTCATTTCCTTTTATGTTTTCTGTCTTTTATTCTTTTATTTGTGCCTGATGCTTTTCGCTGCTGTGGATCAGGGGCATCACCTGTTTTGTCCTCGGTGACGCACCTAACTGATGCGGCCAGCGAGCACTCCGCTGTTTTTGCGGTCGGTAGATCTTTTAGAACTGCAGTTCAAAGGTAACTCATGAGGTGAATATATATGAACCCAGGTAGCAGTTTCTCTTTAGGATTGAGAGGAGATGCAGGAAGATAATAACCAGGCAGGACAGAAAAATAGTCAAATAAAAACAAGTTAGTTTTTGTACCTGGTGGTTACAACAAACAGACACCATTGAAGGTGATCAGAAGTGAGGAACAGAAAATGAAATAATTATTTTAATGTTTAGAGCAGCAGGAACTCTGAGAGGCTGCAGGTGCATCAGTGAGTTTGCGGCCGCTGCGCAGGGGGAGGGGGGGAGAGGGCTGAAGCAGAAACTACTGTTGTTAAAAGAAATGTGTTTAACTTTGAAAATGTGGGCGCAATTTTAATTGTCAAAAACTCCAGCGAACCATTAGTTCATTTGGCCTGCCTCTAATTCTGGTCCTTCTTCCAATAAAGGCCTGGAGCTTGATGAGCTTGAGTCAAATACAGACCCGGGCCTGTATTAGAGGATTTACGGTATCACGATAAATAGCATTCAACTGTTTGTATTAACATCGTCCTTGTAGTTTTATAAGCTGATAATTAAACTGAAGCAAACATCTTTACTGTGAACTAAATTTACTGTGTATCTTCATTCCTTTTGTCGTCTTTTTTCATTTGATTTTTCCTACTGGGAAGTTAGAATTTCCGAGGAGAAAGCAAACGCACCATTAGCGGATAACAAGGGTGGCAATGGAAGCTAACATATCAAGCTAACGTTATCTTAAACAGTTTATTTAGCTGCTGGAGCAGATTAAAACGATGATGCCTCACACTTAAGATCGTTGTCACTGGTTTCATCTTCACCCAATCACCTGTCGCATTTAGTAAAGTGAAGCCAAACTTTAGAGTGCGTTCATGTTCTTCTAGTCGGAAAATCTGAGTTCCGAGGAGAAAGCGAACGCACCATTAGCGAAACGGAAGCTAACATATCAAGCTAACATTGTCTTAAACATTTTATTTACCTACCGGAGCAGATTAAGATGAGGATGTCTCCCTTAGATCGTTGTCGCTGGTTTCATCATCACCCAGTTACCCATCACATTTAGTGAAGTGGACCCAAGATTTAGCGTGCGTTCTTTCTACCATGCTGCTCTGTTTACAACTGGCTCGCAGCGACCGACGATATAACGCTCTTGCGCATGCGCAGCTGTCTAGGCAAGTTCTCGTTATGAAGGACGGGTACCGAAACGAGGCACCGTTTCAAATGACGTGAATCGGTGCTCAGTCGGTACTGTGGAATTTGGTCGGTACCTTAAAAAGTACCGAATTCGGTACCCATCGCTAATGTTAAGTAGCAGAGTGATGCAGATCTGTCAGCATTGTCAAATCCTAGTGTTTCACAGTCTATTTTCTATCAGAAGCTAATGCAGGAGATAGGAGTAGGAGACTATTTTCATGTTCAGCTTGCATGAAAAACTCTGAAAATAATCATTAAAAACAGTTTTTCAGTGCTCCACACCTTTAAGTCTAATGAAGACAATCAGGTAGGAAGGAAAAGATATGATAAATCTTTTTTGCTGAGGCGTTCAAAGGCATATTTCACATCAAGTGAATAAAAGTTATGTTAAAATCATGAAACCATTCTGAAACACGAGCTCTGCAGCCATACCTTAGTAAATCTTGACCATGGTACTTTGCAGATGTCATAGTTCTGCTGCTTCCCTGGAAGGTGAAAAACAAAGTTGTGTTAAATAAATATAATTCCAGCTAAAAACACATTTAAAAGCAGGTCAAGATCCTGGATTATGTTGTGCTTTGTTCTGGACATAATGTAATTTTAGATTCTTGGCCAACCCTAACATGTTCTGTTCAGAGAAAACATTTCCTCACTGCTATCCTTCCAAACAAACCCCCTTTGTTCATGTTTTGTCGAACAGTAAAGTCGTAAACTAATGGCTGAAACGTGACAAGGTCGACGTGCAGCATCGGCTCTACTTAGCTCTTTTGACCAATAAAGGATCATTTAATTGGTCTGAACTTGACGGAACGTGCACTCCTACATCTTGAATGTTTATTCAATTGTGAACAGAAAACAAACAAAATCAAAAAGATACACAAATGAACTAGACAGCGATATAGGCCGGTTTTTCAGTGCGGATCAATGTCAGTCACCATGTTCCCAAGAGAAAAAAAGTCCTCAAAAATCAAACAATAAGGGAAGCAGCACTCAGAAAACTCTTGATTCATTCACCAAGCGGTCACCTGATGTCATGTTTCACTCGCAGACGGATCATTTCAGACACACAGCTGAAGCAGATTTCAATAAAAGCATTTACCAAAGAGCTTGTGTGCGATCATTCCCAGCTGAGCATCATCCAGACCACGTTTTGTGGCAGACAGAAACTGCCAGCTCAGCATGTCTGCAAACTGTGGCCAAGGTGCTGCAGGGACATTGGCGAAGAACTTGACATCCTACAGAAGACAAACAATAACGGCAATTTGGAGAAAATCTGTCTCAGATGGCTTGTTGAGGTCCTCCAAAATAACTTAGCTGCAAAGATGCTTTGTATCGTGTCATGGAGCAGGCAAACTGACCTTGGGATCCTGGCTGAGCATGTTGAACCAGAGCACAGACGCCCACGCACTCTGCTGCTGGCTGGAGTTGGAGATAATCACCACAGGAAGGGAGGAGGCCTACGGGGAAGGGCAAGTCTTCATAAAATATCAAACTAATAATGTTTTTATCAAAAAAAGAAAGAAGCTTCACCTGCAACTCAACTGAGAAGCCTTTGTGCTCAAATACGGTGTTGAAGTGGATGATGTGCAGCTCCTCTGTAACACTCAAAGAGATCTGAAAACCACAAACACTCAGAACACACCTGGGATTTAATTATTGTAGAAAACCAGACAGATGGGATCTTTTACTTACATCGCTGACTCCTTTACCACCTCCTCCAGATTTCTGCTCCTTCAGAGTCTGAAAGACACAGAAAAACTCAAACGTCACAAAATAATGGGACATTTATGCATAATGTCTCTCTTTTAAGTGTAGGTTTTGTAAAACCCTTTCTGACTGGCTCTTAAGACATTTTTCTATCCTCATCACTGACCAGATGTCTGAAGTCTGCCACCATGCCCCCGCTGTGGCTCTCCGCCATGTTCAGCGCTTTAGTCTTGGTTCCCAGGACATTGAAACGGCGGTATCTGCAAGCAGACCGGCGTTTTCATGAGAACAACTTCAAATAGAAAAAACTAAATTCTTCTAAAGCTGGAAAGAAGACTTACCCTTTGATGTGAGGAGCCTCCCTGATTTCAAAGTTGAGAAAACACAGCGGTGCACCCACAGGAAGGAAACAACATCACTCATTTAGACGAGTTAGGAAAGGAAGTGCGCAAAGGTAGTTAGGTCTGACGGAGAAGTCTCACCTGACCATGGACACTTCCACTTTCATGCAGTGGTTCAGTTCAGGGAACTTAACCAGGAGTCTAAAACATCCAGAAAAAGTGAAGAATTGAAGTCAGATTTCATGAAACTAGATATTAAAACAGTAATCTATATCATTTTATTTGGATGTTTAGGGAGTATAATGTTGCAAAAATCAAAGTAAAACAGGCTTAGATATTTGTGCAGATATAAAATATTTAAAAATGTTTCTAACATCTTGGTCGGTGGCTCCTTCTGCATCCTAATCACAAGCATTTTAGAACAATGTTTTTATGAATCAATGCGGCACTGACCTGGTCTTGACAGAAAACTGGGTGTTTGTTCGAAGAACCAGAGGTCCTTTACCCTGTGGCATGGATGGCTGAGTCTCCACCACAAACGAGCTTCAGTTAAGAGAAAAATCTTCATTTCAGCGAATCTCACCACAACCAGCGAACAGCACATCAAGACACATTTAACCAACGACGGCGTTTATACTGTATTCTGAACAAGCAGTGTATTAAGCTAATAAATGACAGAACGGGACCGCTACTCACTGTGCAAAATTAACACCAACCAAAAATAGCACCATCAGAACACTGAACTAAGGACTAACGACATCCAACACAACACTGGCAACAAAATACTTAATACATTGGTAGTGGTCTCTAGTAGGAATAAATGCCTTGGAAGTCGTACTCGAGGGGGGAAAAAAAGCTCAGACGCGCCTATTTCAGGAATGAGCAGAATGCCACATCAGAGTCGAGGTGAACACAGCAGGATTTGGAGTCTTAGTTACTGATATTTGGACATCTCTCCTCTGATTGGATAACAGCAACAACACTCCCTCTGACTCTGCAATGTTGATGTTTTATCTCCACAAATAACACAAGCCTGGAGGAGTTCTGCTGAGTCAAAACGGGCGAGTCCGTGAATGTTTAGGGACATTGTGATGTAGACCTGTCAGGATTTTCTAATCCTAGAGTTTCACCGTCTATTTTCTATCAGACGCTAATGCAGGAGAAAGGTGTAGGAGACTATTTTCATGTTCAGCCTGCATGAAAAACTCAAGAGTGACCCATTTTAATCAGAAATAATAATTAAAATTTTTTTTCATTGAACCACACCTTTAATAACTATGGTATTTACTCTCAACATGTGAAATGCCCCTCATAATTAATTAGTAGGGCAATCGGATGAATGAACAGTGATGTGTATCCTCTAAATTACACAGGGTGCTGTCTCACTCGCAGAACAGTTGGTAAAGCAGCACCAGAGCACCAAGTACTAAACACACGACCTGCCACTCTCAAAGAGCAAGGTAGTCTGACAGCATAAAGAAACAGACCTCTTGAGTAGCTCTTCGAGAAGACCGTCTGTACTCCTCAGCAGATGAGGTCTCTGGGCCTTCACCGGGTCATTTTCATAGGACACTTTTCCTACCAGCTCCTCCAGTTTGTTCAGAAACTCCCGCACTTGGAACAGGCACACGGCCACACAGGTGAACCTAGCAAACAGAAGGTAAATAAACTTGCAAGCTCATCTTCAAAATGTCCAAATGCCTTTATGACTATGCAAAATTTCATCAGCAGCAGAGGTGAGCGCACCACTTCTCCAACTGATCCAAGCAAGCATTATCCGGAGCGCCGATGCAGGCTTTCTGCTGCCTCCTCTGCCAGTCCACTAGCTCTCTGTTCACCAGCAGGTTGATCAGATCCTCGGCCCGGCCCAGAAGCTTAGTCAGGTTTTTCAATGAGCTCTAAAAGCACAATGTGCAAAAAACATATTTTAAAAGGTAAAACAAGAAGTTACCCAACGTCAAAGGATCCTACCTTTCTGCTCTCATTCAATTTATTGACGAGTGACTGAAGAATTTGATTCCGTTTCTTTGTCGATGCCTCGTCTACTGCAGCTGTATAATAGTTTCCACAGTGGGATGAAAGTTTCCATATGACAGAAGAAAAATAGCAACAAAAAAAAAAGTATAAAGCTGTGATTCACACCATTATATTACTCATTTTCAGACTGTAATGAGATCAACATGCTAACCTTCCATTTTGGAAGTCTGAAATTTAAAATCAAACTCGTCTTGCTGTTCTTCCAGATTGCTGATTTCATTTTCCAAATACTGGATTCCCCAAAAATCCATCAGAGAGAGAGAAATGAAAGTGATATTATATTTAGTGTATAAACAGTGCAGGGTGATAACAAATAACATGATCTCCACCTGCACATCGTTCCTTAAACTGGCCATTTTACGTTCAAGTTCCTGCTGACAGCTCGTCTCCATGGGTTCCTGCTCGACTTGCAGCTGCCTCACCTAAAAGACAGGGAAGTGGACAAATTCACAATTTCATTTCTTTTAACTGACATGAAATTGGGTAGTAGTGTTATAGAAGGAATATTTATGGGAATCAAGGTGGCATTTACCCAGATGATCCCCAATATGTACAGTGGGTTTTATAAATAACGATTGAGCATGAAGGACCACAGTTATACATGTAAACAGAAACAAGTGAAACACGAGCTTAATACGTGTACATTTGTCAATAAAGGCGTTTCCCAAACCTGTTCATCCAGATCTGCGCTAGATAGGATTTTCTTCTCTTGAACCAAAAACCACAGGATTGTTTCTGCCAAAGAGCATGGCTCATCTTGATACATCTGTCAGACAGAAGGGTCGTGAAATTACATAACTGGCGCAGCAACAGCTGTGATGACGCTGAATTATTTTTTTACTGTTTTACTACCCAACACAACTACAGAGAGCGTGACAGTCAGAATATTTGTTGTTGACACAAGCAAGATGCAATATATTCAAGAGCCTATTCAACTCATAAGACGTCCCACTCTGAATATTGATGCTATTCATTTCTGTTTGCTTTGCAGACCTGGAAGTTCTGTTTGTAGCGCCTGATGTTGTGCTGCTGTAAAAACGACTCCTCCTGAACAAAGCGGCTGTGTTGGATATCCAAGTTCTCCAGCAGGACCTGGAACAGCACCACAGCATGTTCATGGTCCTGTGCTGCTCGTGCCCTAAGGTAAAAACAAAAAAATAATAAAAACACGAAAACAGATGGGTTATTTCATGTTCAGGCTCATGGATTACAAGCAGAACTCATGATGTCTTACCAGTCCTGCTTTTCTATCCAAGCTGACAGGTGATGTCTAACATCCATGGGCAGACCATCTCTGTCATAGAGATCATGGAGCTGTTGTATGTAACCAGTAGACAACAACATCAGACGCTCCCACTGACTCATCCTAAAAGTGGCCAAACACACACCAACGTACAAATACGTGAATGTTATCCACGAGAATGGAGAACTTGTCAGTGACACATGGTGGCCTGCGTGAAATAACAGGTGAGGACAGGACAAAGTGCGAAGTCTTTCACGATACCAATCAAAACAGCCACGACTGAGAGCACATTTGCAAGTTAGCTAGCTATAAAAGTGTCAACACAAGCATATAAAGGAACGCACGAACTTACTTTAAGTTAGGTCAGAATCCAACGCAGAAATACTTTGAAGCTAACAGCTACGCTAAGACAGGCGCATAGCTTCCTCTTGTATTAAACTAACTAAAATGCAACAGTCGCTTTGCTAAAACAAAATCAACAACCCGAAGCAGGCGTGGGAATGTTATTTCCTTTGTCTTTTCTCCTCAAGCTGTCTACTATTGGACGGTTAATAGTCCCTCCTGAATCGCTCTGGACTCTAGCTCGGGACGCCATTTCGGCTCTGATGCCACACTTCACTGTAGTCTCTGAGCCAAAATGTCCCTTTCACTAAACGCTGTTTCCTCACGAGCTCAGTGCTTGAGAGATGATTGGTCCAACTGCTTGGAGAAGCCCAGGGCTAATTGGTGAATTTGCATGCCAATCTTAAAGTGAGGGCGTGGTCAACAGAATAGAAACTTACGGCCCCACCGTTCAGAGGGAGAAAAATTTTCCAAGAAATGACGTCGAGAAAGTGACGAACCAAAAGTGTATGGCAAGCCGATGGGATCATTAATTGCCAACTTAACAGCGGGGAATAGATGACACTCCTTTTGTGTCCCCAAATTTGGTCCACACATGTTACCTTTTTGTTGAATTTTCTGCTTTTTAAATACTATTTTGCTCATAAATAAAGAACGAAGTGCGGTAAATGTAGGTTTAATTTACTATTCACTTGTTTTGAAAGTGGTTCCTCTCCACCAAATAAAGACTATCTGTTTCCCCCAAATTAATTTTTTTTAGATTCATCACAAGATATATGATAGTTTAAAAGCCCATTCTCTCACAAATACTGGAATAAAAATATAGGCATAAAAACAAGCAGCATTAAGTTGTTGATATAATTTTATGATTTCTGTATATTACAAATTTGTGTTACACAAAAAAAAGCTGCTCGTCTTTATGGTAAATATAGGCTTATTGTGATGTCATACCTAACAGCAGTAAAAAAAAAAGAATACATAACAAATAACTTTGTTCTTTTTTGTTCATTTTCAACATTCCCTTTTTACCTTTTGTAAATGCAGGTTTATTTAGCTTACTTCAGTTGTCACCAGTAGATGTCATACTTGCCAGACAGTTAGGAAATTATCTGATTTCCTTTTTAAAAGTAAATCATAATGACCAATTTTTGTTTTAGTCTTGTCTCAGTACATTTTTTAAGTATTTAATTTAATGATTATTGTTAAAATATGGTTTATTGCGTGCTTTAGTTATAACTGCACAAAATCAGTGACCTTACACCCAACAGTGTGGATTTATTTGTTTAGTAAGCATGTACACAGAGCAAAGATCAGAACAGGACAACCCACCCAGGTCTGGTGATATGTGGTCTTGACCTAGAACCTTCTAACATTCTCTGTAAAATGATCTATCTACATGAGAAGTTCTGAGCAGGTTCTGCTTGGAGTTGGATGTTTTCTGAAATAAAACCTTTCATCAACTCTGTTAAATCTCCATAAGTCACGAGAAAATTGTGAGTGACTTAGAAAATGTATATTATTTTGATGTTTTACACTTAACTTTTGCATTTTTATTAATGAAATAAAAGAGTGATTTTGTACAATGTATTGCATTCCATGTTTTCCCTCCAGAATTTGTCAATAGAAAATTTTTAAAAGATGATAATCTTATTTGTGTGAGAGTGAATTGGATTTTTGAAAACTTAGCATTAAAGGTGCAGTATGTACTAATATAGCAAGAGTTTTACAGTGAGAAAATCCCAAAAGACTAATGTTTCAGTCATTTTGGAAGGAAAGGTCTACTGAAACATTTCTCATATCCAGATGGCTGCGGGATTGTCAGTTTTTGTCCTTTCAAAACAAAGGAAGGAGGGACATAACAACTGTTTACCATCAGTGAGTGTGGGGTTGCTGTGTCTCCTGCGAGCTAATGCTGCTGCGCCGACAATTGTAATTTGACGACAGCCGGCAAAAAGCTCTAGAGTTGTTTAAAGTGGTTGCAGTAACCAAATTTTACCATAGGATGTAATTTTTACTTCTTTACTGCATAATTCAATTCAAATTCAATTAAAAAAAACTTTAATCATCCCTGAGGGCAATTGTTTCAGTACAGAAGAATTGGTACTGTGGTCATTCGCAACAAGTGTCGCGCTACCGTTAATTAGATGAAAAGGGGATTACATGAGGATAAATTGGGGGAGGGAAAAAAGGCATACCAGAGTTACTCCAGGCAGGGCGTAGCTTTACTATGCAAAAAAAAAAAAACTCCTTAAACATGTAAGCACAAACATCAACAATTCACAACATGAGACACCGAGAGGAAGGTGGTGGTGGGGGGGGGGGGGTCTGGGATCCTGTTTCCCCATCGAGAGCAGCCCTATGGCGCTCAGCCACTGTAGCCACAGGTGGGAGGGAGATCTTGGGAGGAGCGCAGAGCACATTGACACCTGCAGGTTGATGACCTCGCCAGGCTGAAGTCCACCAATCTGAAGGCGGCGGCGGGGGGGGGGGGGGGGGGTTCACAGCATCTGTCTGCATTCCTTCGTGGGGGTTTGTTGTTGGCATTCACAAGGCTGCCATGGCGTCAGATTCGGATAACAAGACTTTGTTTGGGTCAGGCAGAGATAATTTTCCTCTCTGCCTTGAAGTCTGTAACGGATCATTCAAGTCCTCCAGTGAAGCCAATTCAGGTTTTAAACATCTCCACACCGTCCGGTGACCCTCTCCGAGATGACATCCATTTTGCGCACTAATACCGGTATCGCAGCTAGAACATTGACCAGCTTACGATTCACCTCGAGTAACGTCCCAGTCTGAGAGGTCTCCACACGGACGGTGCTTTCCATGGGTGCGGGTCGCCCTCCAATCGCTCCCGTCTTCCCAAATTTCCAGAAAACCAGATATCCTCCCACTCCAATTAGAAGAAATCCAGTGATCATCAGGCCAAATATCCACACATCTTCGACATCCTCAATGGACAACTGAGAGAGGCATACGATCTTCCACTCCCTCCAGGAATCGAACATATATCCTGCTGCGTGTGTCACTTGCGGGCAAGTGGGAGCCCCCTCCTCTGTTCTCATAGTAGAAAAAATCTTGTCAATCGCGTTGAATGACCAATTAATTAAATCCGTTCTAAAAAATAGGATTTTTCAGAAGAAATGCAGAGAAGCGCTCTGTGGGCAGACAGGACAAAGAGACTTGGGAGAAAAAGATAAGGGAGCAAAAGCAGAAGCGTCTGTACTCTGCGAGTGCCGGAAGAAGAATGCACCTTTAAAAAAGTTCCAGTGGCATGCTTTCACCCCCAAAATGATGCAAAATTACATTTTTGTGCAAATTCACACAAGTAAAAAAACTAAAATGACTAAATGTAGATGGGATCATGAGCTAGTACATTATAGTAAATTAAAAACTTACATTGCTGTTTGTTACTTGGCAACTCTCAGTTAACAGACACTGATAAATTTATGTATATTTATAATTAATTACACATTTATTTTAGTCACAGTTTACTGGATGGTGAAGGTGCCCTCCTCTATGCTGAGCTGGTTCACCAGGACTTCGTCCTCTTTCTTCATTGAGTTGAGCAGATACCTGACTCCAGCCTTCGCCCCGGTCTTTACCCCAGCCCCCAGAGCGTAGCCGGCCACCCCAGCGGTCCCGCCTGTGGCGACCATCAGGGCATCTGTTCCCAGATCGACAGCGCTGAGGAGGGCTCTCTCCTTGGCTATGGCAGTGCATTTGACCGAGGCGTAGTACACAGCTGTGCCAAGGTTGTACAGGGTGCTGACTCCAGGTATCCACTCCATTATATTGTACACACGCTCCTCGTTTTCATTGATGCAGTTCGTGTGGGGGCTGCGCCTCGTCCGCTGACCTGAGGCTGTGACAATTAGAACTTCTTCCTGGGTGCTACACAGACGGATCCAGCACTCCGACTCCACAGATGGAAAGATGCTGCTACCTTTCTTCAACACTGCTTGGTACAACCCAGGCATGAGAGGCCCGCCACTTGTGACCCCAGCACACAGAACCCCAAGTCTTTCACAGCTGCTCACAGCATCATCTAGTCCACCAGAAGCTCCTTTAACAGCAGTTCCCACCAGCATGGTCCCATTCACCTGGGTCCAGCCCCCACACTGGCCTACCTGTGAAGAGGTGCTGTCTCGCAGCAAGGCCAGCTGCTGAATGTTAAACATCACAGCATCTATGTGTCGACCTGCTTCTTCTCTTTCTGAAGGCGATGTTGCTGCGACTGATGACGCAGGTGCTGGTGTGGATGTGGATCTGCTCATCTTCCTCTCCATGAGAGCCTCCACCTCCATCAGCAGCTCTTCTGTATCAGCCTTTCCTAGCAGGTTATAGAGCGTCAGCACAAGGGTCTGAGCCTCCTTTTGACATCCTGCCACCAACAACACCGGCACTAAAGAGAGACCCAGCAGCTCCTGAGGAAACCTGGAGGAAAGCGAATCGTCCACGGTGCTGGCAGACAGCAGCTCCTCACAGCTCACATTCTCTTTAATGTGGAGATGATCTAAAATCCGTCCCTGAAGTTTAGCTCTGAGGACTGATGTTATAAGTCGAGCAGATCGGACCCTGTCTTCTTCTTGTGAAAGTGGTGATTCGGGTCCAGATTCATCTGTGGATGAAAGTGTGGACAGAGAATTGGAACCCAGAAGAGTGTAGTGGTCCTGTTTGGCTTTCTCCTCCATGTCTTCATGGGGGCGAGTTCTGTGAAGTAATGGGTTCGTCTTCGTTAAAGGAGGCGGGACTCTGGACAGAACCTGTTCATTAAGCAGGAGCTGGATCACAATCAGCCACTTCCACTTGGAGAACATCTCAATCTCACAAAGGTCTTCTTCCAAATCACCAAACTGAAAAAAATAAATAAATTGAGATCTCAAGCTTTTTAAAGGCACACTTGGCAGTTTTGGCTTGCTTTTAGCACCCCCTAGTGTCTGTTTAGTAGAACCAAAAGTAAAACTTACCTCCTTGCTGCGCGATCAATTTTTAAACACCTTAATCTAACAGCTGAAATGTCTCCTCAGCCTTCATTAGTTTCTACAGGAGTGATTCATCAATAAATCAAACAAATCAGCTGTGTTAACAATCTGAAACATGCAGGAAACATGCAGGAGGCAGACTGCAGCGCCAGGCTCTCAGCTCCAGCTCCAAGTCCAACAGGTGGTGGGCCGCCACTCTGAAGTTGCAAGTGCAATGTTCCTGGGGTCTGAGTGAGCTTTCATTAACCCTGTAAAAGGTCAATTTAGCACATACTGGCTTAAAAAATGATTTAGAATTATGAAAAAGTTGCAAACTATCCCTTTAACTGAACTAAATTTATTTACATAAATACATTTGTACATAAAAATAAAACTATGTCAAATATAAATACACAAAAATACATATGAGCAATAAAATAAAAATAAAAACAGTACAAATTTATGAAAAAAATATTTTTAGTTTAAAAATTTACTCAAATGAAAAGCTCATTTTAAGAAAGCGAATTTAACTCAAGTATGTTATAATATTTTCCTTTTCAGATTTCACCAATCAAAATAGGCTAATTGGTTTTACATGTTCGCAACAGATGTTTGAATTTCAACAGTTTTTGCAAAATAAAAAGGTAAAAATCTAGATGGAATTGGTTTATTTCAAGAGTATTTTAAATAATTTGAGCAAGCTAGAGGTAAAAATCCTATCATTAAAAATATAAATTATTAAAAAGCACAAATGAAACATTTTTTTATGCAAAGAGGATGAAAATATAGTAACAGCAATAACTAAAACCTTTAATTCGTCACAATGCAGTTATCATTCTGTGGCAGCTATTTCCTCCAAACCTACCTTAGCAATAATCACAACTGTGATCCTGGCGTTCAGAGTGCATTGGTACAAACAAGACAGGGTTCTTTCTCCTTTTACCCCCTTTCCTGAAAACATGCTTGACAATTTTTTTTCTCTCTCCGCCTCCAATGAGAATCTCCTTCTTTACACATGCCATCTCACAGCCCTCCCTTTGTACATCAGTCTTTCAGTTCCCACTTCTCTTTGCCCTCGTTGCTCAACAGGGAGTTTGGGGCTTGAATATTGATTCATGAGGGGAAAGTTCATGTGCTCCAAAGCAGTTTTGTTTGTCTCTCCTGCTCATCCCCCCTCTTCCCTCTCGCTCAGTTGGGTTTTGTCTGTGACCCACATACTCGAGAGAAACCTCGTCTCATGCCGTGAACAAATTTATCTCTTTCACTGCCAAGAAAAGAAGGGAATAAAGCAGAGTAGTTTAAGGTGCATTGGCTTTTCTTCCATAACAGTGAGAAACTTAGTGTTTTACTAAAATACTAATGCATTATCAGCCTTATCAGCAGTCAGACTCATGGTTATGTTGCATTCTAGTTGCTTAGATGTAAATTAGATCATTGAAGAGATTGTTTACAACTGAAACAGCATGAAAAAAAGCCCTTGTGCCATTTAAACAGTTTTATTTGGATTTTTTGGGATATTTCTGCTTCTTAGAAACTCTAGGATTTGAAAAGCCTGATGGATCTACGTCACACTGCCACTTAACGTTCATGAACTCACCCACCTTGACTCGCGATGGGGAAGGCTGTTGTTGGTTTAGCGTTCAGGAAACAGCAGAGAATGCCTCGGCTAGTAGAAGCTAACCAGTAGCATTAGCAACTCCACAACAGCAGAACCTCTCCAGACTTGTGTTATTCGTGAAGATAAAACATCTTTGTTGCAAGTCAGTGGTAGAGCTACGTTGCAATCCAGTCTGGGGCGAGATGTCCAAATATCAGGAAACAAGACTCTGTTGTAGCAAGAACAAACCAGGAGGAAAGCTCAGAGGGTACCAAGCCTCATTAAGAAGCCTTGATGAACTGAGTACACGAGACCTACAGCTCAAACGCTGCACCAAGCACCATCTGAAAAGTCCACTAGATGCAGTCCCTTCTGGTACCATCACAGTAACCAAGAAGCTTATTTCCATCAGGAGAAAAGGGCTCTGCTTGGGCTGGACCTGACAACTGCTTCAGACATGGAGGTGGATTTACAAAAATCATTACAAAATTTTAAAAATTGCAACCAAGTTCCTGGTTTTGTTTCTACAATCTGGGACCATGGTTAGGGCTGAATGGCTGCAGCAAAAGCAGAGGAGACAAACATGGTAAACATGCGCTTGGCAGTGCCACAGGCCACAGGAAGCATTGTCTGCCATGGAAGAAGAGGATAGACAACACGGTGAGAAGTAAACCTGAAAGAAAGAATCTGTGAGGCTGTAGAAACCATCAAACCCCTCACAGATATGCTTCACACCTGAATGGATAAAAGAAGAAGCCATGAGCATAAACAGGATGTTCTGAACCGTACCAGTCAATGGGGAATAACAGACCTGCCAAGAAATGTGGCTCTGGAGCAGCCAACGGGAAGAGGAGGAATCACATACACAGACAGACTCTTATTTTTTTAAAAATAGGAATTAGTAAGTTTTTAGTTTTGATGCTGCTGTGCACTGGTTAGCCTTGCAGCAATGAGGTCTCGGGTTCACATCCTGCCCTGGGGTCTCTCTGCATGGAGTTTGCATGTTCTCATGTGCATGCACTCTCACTTCCTCCAACGTTCCACAAAAACATGAATGTCAGGTTGATAGGTGTGAGTGTGTGTTCTTGGTTGTTTGTCCTGCGAGTCCCTGTGTTGCTGTACTATGGACTGGCAGTCTGCACAGGGTATACCCCACCTGCATCCCTGAAGACTGCTGGAGATAGGCACTGTCAGGATGTGGGTTTGGAGGAAGGTTAGGAACCAAGATGCAGAACCAGACACACGAGGCAGGAGGTGGAAAAAAACGTAAAATTCTTTATTAAGGAGTAAATCCAAAGGAGGCAGGGAGCCAAAAACCAAAGTCCAAAAATCCTAATATCCAAAATGCTGCAGCTGGAGTTCTAATGAGAATTAAAAAGAGAGATCATATCTCTCCTGTCTTAGCTTCCCTACATTCCCTTTTTCAGAATAGATTTTAAGATCCTCCTTCTCATGCATAGCTCTTAATAATCAAGCTCCATCATACATCAGTGATCTGATTGTTCCATACGTTCCTAACAGATCACTTCGCTCTCAGACTGCAGGTTTACTGGTGGTTCCCAGCATCTAAAAATAAGATGGGATGCAGATCTTTTAGCTACGATCTGCTCCTACCTCCCTCTGACTCCTACTCTCTCCTGCCCCTGATTAGCTGTTTATTTATCTCACCTGCCCCTTGTTAACCTGCCCATGTGTTCCTGATCGTTCCCCGTGTATTTATACCTCCCGTCTTCATGTGTCCCTCGTCGGATCATTGATGTTGTTGTGTCTCGTTGTTTCCCCGCTGTATCCTCTGCCATTAAATCCATTTTTATGTTATCTGAGCCTGCATTCCTGCCTCCTGGTCAGCTCCACCACGCATGGTCCGCCGCCACCCACACCTCTACATGACAGAACCAGCTTCCAGCTTTAGTCTGTGAAGCAGTACCCTTGTCTACTTTTAAGACAACGCTTGAAACGTTTTATTTGATAGGGTCTATAGTTAAAATCTGATGTTAACCCAGGTTTGGACAAGTGGGGGGGGGGGGGGGGGGGTAGAGGGAGATGGTGTGTACAACGGGAAATACAGTTCCATGCTGTAGTTCTTTTTTAAAACACAGAACAGTTTTGTTACCTGTTTTTCCTGCTACGCTTCGTTTGTGGCTGCAAACTTCCTCAGGCTGACGCTGATGGTGGCGTCACTTCCTTCTCCGTTTATCTGCGGGCAGCAGAGGAGGTTGTCCCCCTCTGCTGCCCGCTCTCCCCTCTCCGATGATGCAGTCCCATGTGCAATCCAACGTGTAGACCCCATCGTCCCTGCTCATGGTCCCACATCCACGGCTCCTTATTTCGATTGCTTCTTTTATCCATATTTTGTATTTTTGTTGTTTGGTGTTCATGATCCTTGTGTTGTCCCAGTCCATTATATGGTTTTCTCTTATGCAGTGATCTGTTACGGCTGACTTCTTTATTGTGCTTTCTGCTTCTTATTTCGCTGCTCTTGTGTGTCTTCGATTTGTTTCTTTCTCGCACTCCTTTCTATGTTCTATTGTTTGTGTGTTGAGTTGGCGTCCGGTTTCTCCTATGTATGTTTTATTGCAGTGTTTGCATGGGATTTCGTAAATGACTCCACATTTTTGTCCAGCTGATATTTTGTCTTTTGGGTGTACTAGTCTGTTTCTAACTGTTGTGTATGGTTTTGTTGGTGTGTTTATGTTGTGTTTTTTCATTGTTGCTCTTATTTTTTCTGTTATGCCTCTGATGTATGGTAGGGTTATCACTGGTTTTGGTTCTTGTCTTTCTGGGCTTCTGGTTCTTTGCTAAGGTTGTTCTTTTCTTTCTGTTGTTGTTTGTTGTTTTCCTTTGTTTATTGCCCATGTCGGGTATCCGCAGGTCTTTAAAGCGTGTTGTATGTGTTTGTCCTCTTGTTTACGGTCTCTTTCCTCTGTTATTATGTTTGCTCGGTGATATAATGTTCTGATTACTGACATTTTGTGTATGGTGGGGTGTTCTGATATCCGTAATAGATATTGGTCTGTGTGTGTTGGTTTCCTGTATGTGTTTATGTTTATGTTTATGTTTATGTATTTAGCAGACGCTTAGGGTCCCGTCTTTCTGCCTGGTTATTTTCATGTCCATAAATGCTATGCTGCCTTCTGTTTCTAACTCATAAGTGAATTTTATGTTGCCTGTGTCGTCAATATTGTTTAAGTGTTGTGTTAGTGTTTCTGTTTGACCTTTTGGTATGATTTCCAGTATGTCATCCACGTAGCGTTTCCATAATTTTATTTTGCAGTTTGGGGGGGCAGTGGCTATGGCTTTTTGTTCTAGGTCTTCCATGAAAAATTCGCACAGGGTGGCTGATAACGGGTTACCCATGGCGAAGCCTTCCAGTTGTTTGTATATTGTGTCATCGTATGTGAAGTAAGTGGAGTTAGCTAGCAGTCCTATCAGTTGTGCTATGTCATCTGCTGTGAGGTTTGTCCTTTTGTGTAAAGTATTGTCCTGTCTGATTCTGTTAACTACTATGTCTATGGTTTTTTGGGTTGGTGTTTTTGTGAACAGAGATGTGACGTCATGTGAGATGAGTATGTCGTTGTCTTCTATTGTAATCTCCTTTAATTCTTTAGCCAGTTCTATGTTATTTTTGCAGTGTTGATCTGTGTTTCCTAATAACCGGCTGATGATTTTGCTGATATCTTTTGCCATGTTGTATGTTGGTGTACCTATGCTGTCAACTATTGGTCTAAGCGGGGTGTTTTGTTTGTGTATTTTTGGTGTTCCATATATTCTTGGTGTTATGTTTGCTGTAGGAATCCAGTGTTTGTACATTTTCTCTGTTATTTTGCCTTTTTCTTGTAGTGGCTTCAGTAATTTTTTCTTGTTTTTCTTAATGTTTTCTGTTGGATCTTTTTTAAGTATTTCATATGTATTTTTGTCCTCTAGCATCTGGTTCATCTGTTGTTTATATTTTTCTCTGTCCATTACCACTGCAGTTCTTCCTTTGTCTGCTGGTAGAATAATTATCTGTTCATTTTTGGATAAAGCTGTCATGGCTGATTGTTCTACTTTTGAAATATTGCTGTGTTGAATTTGGCTGTTTTTTAATATCCCAACTATGTTTTTTCTAAGTTCTGCTTTCTTTCCCTCATCTGTGATCTGTTGACATGCTAGTTTTGTTGCTACAATGAATTCATCATATGGTATTTCTTTTGGTGTGACTGCAAAGTTTAAACCTTTCTTTAATAGGCTGATGGTGGCGTCACTTCCTTCTACGTTTATCCGCGGGCAGCAGAGGATGTTGTCGCCTTCTGCTGCCCGCTAAACGGATAAACGGAGAAGGAAGTGACGCCACCATCAGTGGCAGCTCTGAG